TAGCTCAGTTAAAGAAACCGGTCGCCTCCATTGAGCCGAGGGTTTCTATGAATAGTCCGTTAGCTATTTTCTTATTGATATAGTATCCTCTTAATACAAGTCAATAAAATATTTTAAACTATTTTGAGCATGATTCGTAAATATAAAGTGCGTGTTAGAAACCAAAACAGACCACTGAAAATATATTCAGACGTATGGATAACTTCGCACTATTCACAAGAAATTTGGAGTTGTATTTTAGTTTAGTTTTTATAATCGTAAAATAGGCCTAATATGAGAATCTACGAAATAACATTAAATTCCGTTTATTAGAAACAATTTAATGGATATAAGAATTTGAGGGTAATTTATAGTGTATATTTATAGTGTATAGGCTAATGTAAAAAGAACAGTAACTATGACGTGAAAACTTTCAAATAGCATAAAATAATTATTAAGCCTGCTGCTGATATTAGGCTATAACTCTTACACAAATGTACAGTTGCATTTTTTGCAATAATACATTTTCATCCCCTTTCTTACACCAACGCACTTCTCATGAACCCACACTATACACGATAGACATTGAATCATCACTTCCTTGAAATCATCACAACAGATGGCACAGAGCCATGAATCCTCGTTGCAAGTGAAGGACTATTTACTGAAGGCAATAGAAATTTAGTCTTTACTTGTCTTCTCCGGTAATGGAAATTTAGTCTTCTCCGGCTTTGGAGCTATCTTTTAACAGCAGTGTCTCTTTTTTCCTTTTTTTAAGCGTCTTCCAGGATCTGCTTGCATGGGCTACTTGTTAACAGTTATGTTTTTGAGCCCTCTTCAACTGAGAATTTAGATGGACTCGAAAGATTTCACACGAAGAAACCTGGACTTTTGACAAAAATGGTGATGCACCAGTCTGGAAGAGGTTCTGATTCTGTTCTACTGGTGGTTGCAACATATTTTCTGCTTGGAGACTGCATGTCATGTAACGGTCCACTAGTAGAAGCAGCTAGGCTTGTGTCAGGAACTTCTAGGCCAGGAACATCATTTGCCTCAAACCGCACTGCTGCAACAAATCGAAAGACTTGAAATACATGTCTATTCTCTTGGGAAACTCCTGGTTTAGCAAAACCATTCATTGCCGTCATTACTGTTGCAGCGTGTCCGCATGCTTTCCCAAGAAATCTTGCTATATGGAACTGGGTGACAACTTCTAATTTTCCTTCTCTCTATCTTTGTTGTAGAAACTTTCTACTTAATGTTTCTTAATCTATTTATTGTACAGATACAATTTCAAAACTACAAATAGGCACAAATTACGCAAAAAAATAATAAAAATCGTTACGGTAATTTCAATCAAGTATTCATTTTACACAGAATTTAGGCATATACTGGGTTTAGATTAAAATTAGATTAACAGCTTATGATTATTTTTATAACAAAGAAAATGAGATAATTACCTAATTGTAGATTGATTTATTCCTGATAGCTTTTTACCAAATTAGTAACATTTTATTCTTCAACTTCAGAAAGTTACGAAATAGCCCTGATATGGTTTCTGAGGTTAGGCCACCAGCCCATTAATAGCAACGCAGGATGGCTGATTGAAGGCAACTAGCAGTTGGTATGTAATACGTCAGTTATAATAACAATTGTTATAACCGAATTAGTACAAGTAAACAATCATTTTTAATATAGCCAAATAGCGCTGATTTAACACAATTTTAAATGTTATTAGTCAACTAATACACTATTAACGTCTTACTGATATCTATATTTTCTTTACAGTGATGAATTAGAAGAAAATTATATTCTTTATGTAGTATACTAAACAGTCAACAAGTAGTGTCTACTCTCAATAACTAATAATGGAAAATATGGAAGTGTCTCAACGAAGGAGTCGGCTCAACGATAGCAACCTTAACCTAAATAATGTCATTCTAGTCTATTTCGCTTATTTGTTAATTTTTTCGTCGACCCTGTATCTCCTACTACAGTCTGGCACTTGATGGCTTTCCAATTCTGAGAAAGTTTGTAACCTTGGAGAGAAATTACAAGAAATTACCTTCATCACGGATTGCAGATGTACATTGGTCAATCGTGTTCTTTTCTTATTAATTTTGAGCTGTGAATTCTATGTGTTTCAACTTTGCATTCCTAAACAAAGCGATTATTCTTTGTGCAAAATTCGTAACTGAGCTGATTTGTTTTTTGACAAATACGAATACAAGTTAATAAAATCCATTTAAAATATTTGAATAAGATTTATATCATATTGTAAATTAATTAGCTCTGTTTATAGATTATCTGACGTGTTATTCATACTCGTTTTTAATTGTAATAAAAATAATGTATTTCAAATAACAAAAATGTTGAAATTTTTACAGCGCCATTTTTGTAACAAATACATAATAAAATATATTCGTGGTACGCATAAAATTGCTTCGGGAGCCACAAATTTGAGACCACTGGTATGAAGGATTTCGATATAATTTAGTTAATGTTGAACTAATTTTAGAATTCAATTCATTGTCTGCTTCTTTTTTTAGTTACCATTCAAAATAGAAAGTGCATCATATAGATCTTTGAAAGTAACTAATAAAGATACACACTATATATCTGTATATATAATAATACACACTATATATGTGTGTATGTGTGCTTGTGCATGTGTATAAGATACTGGCAGTTTATGAAAAATAGGCATTCTATAAAAATACGAGTATCTAAGCGGTGGGCATAGCTGAAACTTTTGATCTTTGGCGCTTCCTTTGTTTATCGCCTGGATTGGTCCCTGAACTTTCCGCCTTTCTCGATATATAAATAAATAATTACAAAAACTGTGAAAACGTCATTTAGGATAATAAATTAAAACTCCATTTATTTTTTAACACAAACTTTAATTCCGATATTTTTAACATTATGCAGGTACTATTATTACTTTGCTCGTCTTTCTTGTTCCCATGATATTGTAGAGATCTATTTGATTGCTCCATTTGCAATTATGTAGACTGTACAGAAAGATCTCTTAAATGTAAAATATACATTTGTAGTTCTGAAAGTCTTCTTAAATGACTTTTATTGAGAAAACGCGTCTCACAACTATCAACACTTCCAACAATTGAGTAGAATTTTTGAACCAATATTACAATATTTGGAACTTTAGATGTGGGGATTGTATTTTAGATTAAACTGCAAAAAATCAAAAGAACCCCCTTTCAGGTTTCTGGACCGTCCTTTCTAGATACACCACTGTGGCCAGGCAGTACATAGAATATTTGGCGTTTGAGAGTAAAGTATCGAATATCTGAATTACTTCCATATTGTGTACACTTTCCCTAACCAATGGTGGGATTACCTAGGTACTATATACATGGTATTCTATTAAGATCGCCCATACTCTAAACAGTCATATTCCTCGTAGGAATACATAAAAAATGCACAGAGACCATGTACTCATAATTTTCGAGACCTGTATGAACCATAGTTTTCGAGATAAATTCAAAAAAAAGTATGGCGTCTTACCCGATGCAGAACATTGCTATTTCATATACATATGAATAAAATGTTCACCAAGCATATCGAATCATGCATGCGCGCGCTGTGGGATGTCTGGATCCGCTCTCACTTGTCATTTGTCGCAACTAGGTCTTGATAGACCAATGCCTTCAGATTGTCCATAAGAAGAAACTAAAGGTATCAGATCTGGCGATCTTGGCGGCCGTAAAACTAGACCTGTCTCTCAATCCAACTGCATTGGTATACCATATCTAGCCAATTATGTACAGAAGAACTGAAATACGCTTGAGCTCCATCATGCTGGAACGCTGAAGCGCTCCATCATGCTAGGTGATGTGACGGATATATCGTCGTACGTTTCTTACGCATTTATCTCGAAACCTATAGGTCGTATAGGTACATTTAATCTGGGCGAGGTAGAGGTGCACTGAGAGAAAAAATAGGACAGTTCTATATCTCCCGTTCTACTGCGCCGATTGACGAAATTCAACTTGCTTTTTTCATGACTCCAAAGTGCGAATTAGGATATATATTAGATTTATAAATAGTATTATTCCAACATAGGTATTTTGACATAAAACCGGATTTTTTCTGAAATGGCAAGCCAATGTTTTCCATATTTCGATTCTACGACTCAAATTATGCCAAACTTCCAGGATTTGTAAAAATCGCATGAGTAGTTTTTAAAAAATTGGCTCTCAAAATTTTAGCTCCTTAATGTTAATTGAATTGGATATATATACGCATTGATTAATATCTCATTTTTTATTTAACGTTTTTCTTTCCTTCTTCCAGAATTCGAAATTTAGGCTTAATCCAAATATAATTCGCACATCTTTTATGATTTCTTTTTAAAATTTGTATTTTAAAATACTTTTTATAAATTTTTCGAAAACTTTTTGTTCTATAACCTATACAATATTTAACATCGCCTTAAAGTAGATGTATTTCTAGGCACACCTGCAAAAAATTAGAGTTTTTTATTCAAAATTTTCTAAGATATACATAAAATTACATATTGGAGCGTTTTAATGTTTATATATATATATATATATAAACATCAAGATATTTTTTTGATTACTTAATCTGTTCAAGATAATGTTTTGAATTTCTCACCAAATTTTACAAAATTTAATATTTAGGTATAATTTGAGTCGTAGAATCGAAATATGGAAAAAATCTGGTATGTCATTTCAGAAAAAGTCCGATTTTGTGTCATACCTATGTTAGAAGAATGCTATATAAAATTCTAATATATATCCCAAGTCGCGCTTTCGAGAGATGGAAAACGCAAGTATGACGAATTGAATTTCGTCAATCGGCACAGTAGAATGGGAGATTTATAACTGTCCCCACTTTTCCCCCCTGCAGTGGACATTTCTCCCTTCATTTTATATTTATCAAGCGAGGAATCTGGAATTTGATATCGTCTTTGTAGCATTTTTGTAAAAGTTTGCGTTTTATCACACTAAACATTTGCAACTATTTTTTCCTCCTTGCAGGAAAGTTCACATAACCAAAGCAACTCTCCAGCAACTCGATGGACAGTTTGAGGCCGAACCTGGTAACGGACATCAGAGAGACCAGTACCTTGCTGACCATCAAGTGGAAACATATCTCATTGTCCCTCCCAAGGTAAGTCTTCCTTCATGCATGTAATTATGCCAGAACAGCCAGCGCTACCTCCGTTGTCTTATCTCAAGCGCATTAAAAATGACTACTTTATAAACGAGTGGTAGGAGCAGGCGTCATCACGATTAGATATGTCTTTCAGTTTAGTCCGAAAGTCAAAATGGTGCTATAGCTACACCCCGTCGCTAACAAAGTTCCTAAATGGTCAAGGGTTCTTACTCTGCTATCCTAAATGAGAAGAAAAACTAAGATCAATGTGGTGAGGAGTGCGCTCGCGATTACTATGCGTTTCGCTTGTATCAATCAACGACTTCATACAACAGGTAGGCGGCTCATTCCAAAGGGAATTCGTCTGCTAGCGAACTCCAACATACACCACGTGATTCATAGTCTTGGAGCTCTTGGGGAGTGATAGCTTAGGGTGTCCATTTTGTCTGTTTGGCGCGCTTTTGATATGGCAGGGAGTGTTTTTTATTTCCGTCTGCTGGCAGTAGGCAGATAACAATCTCGATTTAGATTATTCCATTTTTTACAATTATTTTTAGATATAACTTAATGTTTTTCCCTGAATATTTATCTACATTTTTAATAATCACTTTAAATTTTTCGCATCGTTGTTTAAGATGTTTAGGTTAAATAATTTTAGGAAGAAAATCTAAAATAAATAATGAAAACATTGAGATGAAAACCTTATGAATAACATTAATAATTAAAATAGTAAAACATTAATTGCGATACTGTTATAATATTTGAGGGGGTAAAACATCCATTTATTTTTAATGTATTGCATCATAAAGAGACAAAGAAAATCACACTTTTTTTTTTTTTTTGAGATGGTATAAATTTTTAAAAAATTAGCTTGTAAGACCATGGAAATCTTTGTAGATATATAAAGAATGTGATATTTACTTTTAAAAAATGAATACATAAAACAGTGCAAATAAAATACAATAAAAATAAAAATATATTCTTTTATTTAAACAAATACAGGGCTTAAATAAAACTGACTGTTTCACAGAAAAAAAAGCTTTTTTGAATAGAAAGTGAAAACTAGTAAAGATATAATGATGAGAGCCTCATTTAAACCTGAAAAAGTTCACTCAGGTGTAGTTTTGATGGTTTTCTTTGACAAACTATGTATATATATATATATATATTGTTTGTATTCAACAAAAAGTTAAGACCTGTTTTCAAGGATTTTCTTTTTTTAAGTTTAACTCCTACTAAAAATCTTAATACACACTTAATCCTCATTATAAATTAAAGAAAATTCTATAGCCGTTTTTTGTAAGTGAGCAGGGAAATTAAATAATGTTGGTATTGCTGTGGCTTTTAACCAGGTGCCTCCAAACTTTGTTCTCTCGAAGCAGTCTGGTGTAAAATGTTTCGAACATAACTTTGAATACTTGGTTACTTCAAAGTTTTCACGTCGCAATTGTACTTCCCATTGTTTTTGTCTTTCTGGGGAAACTATAATTGAAAAAACTTAATTGTACTAAAGTAGCAAATAAAGTATTAAATTACACACATATATGTATGCCAGGTCATACAGGTATGCTGCAGGAGAATGATAATTTTTTCAGAATCATTTAAGAATTCTTTAAGTACATGCTGAAAAATATCATGAAGTTTTAAAAGTGTAGTGATTTTTCATTAGAAGGAAATGTAAATATGCCTACGACTAGAGTCAAGACAATAGTGTAATTGCCTGTATATGGGGGGAGGCATTTCCCCCCTTAACTTTTTATCACATGAGAATTCTTATTTTGTAGTTCTGCATTGGAATGGAAATCAAAAGGGTCCTATTGGACCACCTTAAAGTTCTCTTAAAATTCTTTTACAATAGCACGTACATTCAAAAACAGAATTTGTAATGCATCAACTTAAGGTCAAAGGGTCTGGAGAAAAGAGGGTCAAGTGCAAATTTAAAAGAAAATCTGAGTCACTTTCAAATTAGATTGTTGATGATGGTAGATGGGAAAAAATTTCTGCTCATGGCAATGTTCATCAAATTTACTTTGATTTTGTCATCAACAATTCTTTCTTCATAAAAATCTATTAACAAACTCAATTATATTTCACTGCACGTAGGTTAAACTTCTAAAATAAGCAACACCCCCCCTTTTCTTGAGATTATATTACCGGAACAAAATAATGTAATGTTAATTACTGATTTCCACACTCATATGTATGTAATGGCGGGGATCAATACATCTTATTAACTATAACAAATATTTTATATTGAATATGTATCAAACGATAACAAACAAAATTTTCACATCATATTTTTTCAATTACGATAAATTTCTAACAGCATCGTAGATGAGACAGAATTATAGTCCAGATTATTTTTATTTTAATTGATATTATAGAAAATAATGATAATGCACATAAAAGCAATTTGATTTTTAAAATAATGCTGTTTAAGTGTTTATGTTCAATATTGCATGACTCAAGATTTTCAGCTTTTTTTAACAAAGTATTACTGGAGCAAAATAATGCAATCTTAATTGCTGATAATTACTTACTTAATTACTGACCTCTTTTCAACGAAGCATCGCACAATCATTTCTCAATAATTTAATAATAATAATAACATTTTTCTTTTTATATCGCAGGCAGTACTTATTTACGAAACCAAAACGCGTACGACTTGGCGAAAACATGTTAGCGTCAATTGACGCAACTTTCTATTTCAACGGAGTACACGGAAAAAGAATATAAAATTCAATTATTTGTAAAGGATGATTTCAGTAAATAGTGTCAGAGTATTTTATACATTTTGATGCTAATAATACATGCTGAAAATGTCATATACAGCGGCAATTTTCTTATATAATATGGCTGAAACTTTCCAACCAATTCAACAGAGATAGTAAAATGACAAAAATACTGGAAATAAAATAATAAATCATGCAGTTTTAACTTACCTATGAAAGGCTACAGGTCCTCCTTTTACAAAACTTTCTTTACATCCATAGGCGGAGCCCACCAGCGGCCGAGCGGTAAAGTCGCTGAACACTGGTAGTTCGGTCTGAGGTTCGAATCCCGCGAACGGACTGGCTGCATGGGTGTTTTCGTGGTTTTCCCCATGTGTAACGTGTATACGAGCCAGTTTCCCTTAGAAAGTCCTCCACGAAAGCATCCCCCCTTAAGCAGATAGCCCTAATGTGCTTTGCCGTAATTAAATACACCATACACCATCCATAGGCGCTGCAGCGGATAACCATTTTTTTCTTAAATTTTATGTGACCAAGCAGAGCAGTCGTCTTTCGTCCCATAGAAATGAATGTAAAGCATTTCCATACTTTCGGATTTCGACCAGCAGTCACGTGACATTAATGCTGGAACTGGTTGGAGGTTGCAGATACTGTTTCTACCAGTATCTATCTCGTTCATGGAGGTACGATCTCGTCGGTATCAATATAAGGGAATAGCATGCTAAAAAACCCACTACTTCAAACTTTGAAGCATGGGCAGAACACATGAAGTCTCGTCCTTATGTTCTCAAAAACTATCCATATTTTAAATTTCTGTGCTATGATAAGCGATCTATACCCTTAAGTTATAGTTTAACTTTCATTTCAGGAAATAGTTTAATGCATTAAAATTGAACATAACTGTATTTCATCTTTTATATTTTGCTGTTACAATATGCAACACATACTGTTACTCAAAACTGTAAAAGCATTTTTTGCCCATATTTAGTCTGCATCATAATTAGTTATAAGTATAAATAATCTAGCTTTATATCTAGTATTTATATGCGTGTATGTGTGTACCATCTGTACTTCTAATGTTTCAATGTAACTTATACGAGATACAGAGTACATCCGCCGAGTTGGCAACCATCCTTGTAAGATTAACGCCAAGGTAAGGCCTTAATCTGGCGGCGTTCTGTTCTTTCATTAATAGTTAGTAAATAGAATTTGTAGTTAATAAGTATCAAGAATATAAAATAGGTAAGCTATCTGTAACTGGAGTAAGTGGTAACACGCGCGCTATGCAGTGATTCTTAAAAATAATTATCAGAATTTTCAGTGTGTTTGAACTTTTGAAAAATTTGGATCTTTTGTTTTATCTCCTTCCTCTTCATTCGTCTGATGTCCCTCTTGGCAACTGCAGTCAAGAATCATTCATTTGACGTACACCTCGGCTTCAGCAGGTAATTGAGCTAGAAAGCTAAATTACAGTCAGATATCGTAATGCTAGTTGTACTGTGCATTCTTATTGGAATGTAGGTTTCTGTCAAAGAAATAATACTGCGATGGTTATATGTAGTTTATCCAGGACTATTTTTAATTTGTTATGCTGCTATTCTAACCAGTTTCTTTGGAAATTTAATGACTCGCAGAATTTTCTCACCTTTTTTTTCAGTTATGAAAGTAATCGAAAATAATGCACCAGAGAATGCGAATATGGGTCAGATGAACAAAAGGAAATTGTCACTGTATTGAAAAATGTAGCAGCTCAGAGCAAAGTAAATATATGTAAATGCGTCATAGAGATATATAAGGCAAATTTTCTCACTTTTATCTTAAACTCTAAAACATTAATTTCTGAATAAGAATTCAATGTAATCGTACAGTTTAGAATTCATCTGACACCCACGGCCAGTGCAACCGTATCTATATGACTGTCTAGCTTTCTAGAAGCTTCGAAAAAATTCATTTCTAGATCTCTGAAAAAGGCGTTTTCTGATTTAAGAATATCTCGCAGCTGGCGTGAAATCTCCAGAAACTTGATAAGAAAGCTACTGCTTATATCTTTGCTTCTGACTGAGATATTTTTATACTTTAAATATTGATCGGCTTAGAATTAAAAAATCTACAATATTCTACGCGAAATAAATATATTCAAATAAAATGCATGCCCGCAAATGCGACTGAACCAAAATGCCTGCTAAAACCACTACGTAAAAATAAAAACTAAACCAAAAATAAGAATGGAAATCTGAAATGTTTCTGATTTTAAATTCCGTCCAAAGGGGCGTTTTTTTTTAC